TGGCTGGGGAATTCTGGGGTTGAAGTCCACACATCTTCAAGTCACCAACGTTGAGGAACCCTGCACTAAAGTATGTAAGTACTAAAAGTGTTTAAGGTACCGAAGCCTTCAACCTTATAATGTTTCTTCCTACTGATCTCTCATCTACAGCTTTATAAACTGGGGGCTCAAATTCTACCTTCTTTTTTCCTGGCTCATACTCTGGTTACCATTCAAACTTTTTCTGAATTAAAGATAAAAAGAGGTCAGGCACCTCATTTGAAGAAACCCTACATGATGATATGTCTTTTCCAATCTGAACTGAAAAATTAAATCCGTCTTTCTTGCAGTTGTAGATTTAGATGAATCTCCAGTTCTTTATTTGAATGCAAGCATTGGTCCTTCATCCTGTTAATTGTATTGGGATCTTAATTATCATTGCAGCCACAGCTTTCCTTCAAGGCTGAAGACCACAGGAAAGGAAAGGAATCCCTTTGAACTTCTTTTTCTCTTTAAATATACATAACTGGAGTGTAAATATTTCATTGGTTCTCCTGTATCATGTTACCTCACAGGGTAGTGCTATTGCCAAAACCTGTGTTACATGAACTACTGTGATGTTTTATTGGTTAAAAGTTCTATCCTCTCAGTCCGACTCAAATTAACTCCAGAAAATCAAGTAGCAGGTATACTGGAAATATTAGTGGAAAATGGAGGCATTTTGAAACATGATTTGCATTATTTTCTCAATCTACAGATCTTATTTCTCTATCTTTCTAGGTGCTTAAAATATATCAAACTGCAAATAAAGCAAGTGATTTAATCAAAATTTTAAAAATGGATGTATGATTTATACTCCTTTGTTATGGGACAGCTGCTTGGAGCTTAATGATTTTTCTAACACAATTGAAATGTTACATAGAGCAATTTCTTTTTTATCACATAAGCTAGAATATTAATTCTGCAGAATGCTTTATAATAGCTGCCTGGATTTTACAGTTCCACAACTGTATGAGGCTGACCATTTTCTTTCCATTTCACAATAGTATCTTTTTGGGGGAACTAGAAAGTGCCAAGATGAAAGTATTTTGATTTCATGGAGCAAGCAACAAAAACCATGAAGGAGTATTTCATATATAATTCTACCATGTTGGGGAGAGAGTGGGGTGAACTTGTTAGTACTTCTAGAGAATTCTTCTACCAAATTTTCACACATGCTATTTAAAGAGACAAGCTGCAAGGTGTAAGAGAGAAATTTGACTTCATTTTTAAGTGTAACACTCTTTTTTCAAAAAAGGAAAAAAAAAGATTTGAAAGGCTTTTCAGCCAAGCTGCAATTTTCACCTTTAATGAGAAGTTAGCTGTCTCAGACTAAAGGGAAGATATGGCATGAACTACCCTTCAGTTTGATTGCACTCAATTGTCCTTCAGATGCTTGTTAGCAGGAATTTTGTCAAGCATGTTCAAAATGATCGGGACTTGCTGATGTGAGATTTCTCAGGTGAAGTGTGCTTGAAGGATGCAAACCTTTTTTAATGGAAGCCTGACATTTCTGAGTTTTCCTCCTGTTGAATAAATAGCATGGATATATACATGCAGACTAGAGAGGCAGTGGAGTATAACCAACATCAAATACTTATGAGGACATTTTCAGATTTAAATTTATATATTATACTTGACATTCTAGTCTATTCTACCTCCATTCAGAGCAGAAATTACCATGGATTGTCACCGTCCCATTTAATCAGATTACTGACTACTATATAATGCAAGGGGATTATTATTATTATTATTATTATTATTATTATTATTATTAT